CCGCTCCCTCCCCTGGCCCCCGCTTTCTGCTCCCGCAGGTGGCGTGGACACAGCTGCCGTGGGCTCCGTGTTCGACGTGTCCAACGCCGATCGGCTGGGCTCGTCCGAGGTAGAACAGGTGCAGCTGGTGGTGGACGGTGTGAAGCTCATGGTGGAGATGGAGAAGAAGCTGGAAAAGGGCCAGTCCATCGACGACATGATCCCCGCCCAGAAGTAGGCGCCCAGCCCGCCCGCCGCCGCCCGCGGCCGGCCTGCAATGGCTTGGTCACCGAGGGGCCCCACCCAACCCTTCTCGGAGTTCCTCTTCCAACCAGAGTTCCAACCAATGGGCTCTCCTCTGGGTTCCGGCCAATGAAAAACCTCTACTTTTCCCGAGCTCTGCAATGGGGAGCGTCCTCCACACGTGGCGCTCATGCTTTTCTCCACTCAAAGCAACAAATAAAAGCAATGGTGGCCTTAACTTTGTGGGCACGTTATTGAGGGAGGAGGGGGGACTTTTGTAACTGGCTGCTATGTGACCTCGAAGTGGTTTGCCCTCTCTGGGCACGTTCTGTCCCCTATGCGGCCAGGTTAGGGTATAGCGCAGTGATGGCGAACCTTTTGAGCTCGGCGTGTCAGCATTTTGAAAAACGCTAACTTAACTCTGGTGCCGTGTCACGTATAGAAATTTTTTGATATTTGCAACCACAGTAAAACAAAGACTTAAGCCGGGTCCCTTCCAACCTCGGCTCCTGCTCATAGTGGCTCAGGTCGCAAACACAGGGCGCGGGAGGGAGGAACCCAGGTGTGTCCGGGACCTGAAACTGGCCCACATGCAGGTCCTCACTGCGCCTCCTGATGCTTTCCACGGGCCTCCTGTGAGGTCTGACTTCCTCCCTCTGCTGCTGCTACGTCTTTTCACCTTCACTTTGCCCAAGAACCTGCCATAGCTCCGGTGTTCCTTAAAAGGCATTCCCCCTTCCAACCTCGGCTCCTGCTCATACGTGGCTCAGATCTCAAACACAGGGTGGGAGGGAGGAACCCAGGCGTGTCCGGGACCTGAAACTGGCCCACATGCAGGTCCTCACTGCGCCTCCTGATGCTTTCCACGGGCCTCCTGTGAGGTCTGACTTCCTCCCTCTGCTGCTGCTACGTCTTTTCACCTTCACTTTGCCCAAGAACCTGCCATAGCTCCCGTGTCCCTTAAAAGGCATTCCTATTACCTGTCAAGCCGGAATGCACTCCGTTTGCTGAGGCTCATTTTTCCTGTCCCTCCTGGCAGTTCCTCTATATACTCTTTGCTCCTTACACTTGCAATTTCCACCTTGATGTCTTTGTGAAAGCTGTTTCCTCCTCCAGCAGGGACTTGGGGCAGAGTATCCCCATTAAGTCTCCAGAGATTGGCCTTTTGGAGAGCTTGGTCCAGAGGAGCAGGAAGGAGGAAACTGAGGCCCAGGGATCCCCAAGAATCCCCAGAGAGATGACAGAAATAGGAAGGGTAGGAGCGGCTCTCAGGATTCCTTTAGACTGTCCCCAACTGAGGACCCATCGCCCAGGGATCCCCAAGAATCCCCAGAGAGACGACAGAAATAGGAAGGGTAGGAGCGGCTCCCAGGATTCCTTTAGACTGTCCCCAACTGAGGACCCATCACTAAGCCCAGCTCCACCCAGAGGCCACACAGGTCACGGCACTGCAGGGGGGACAGGCTGAGTCAGTCAAATCGGCAGACCAGGCGTCTGATTTGTCACCACTGTGTCCCCAGCTGCCATGCCCACCCTGCCCATTTGCCTCATATGTCTTAAACCCAGCCTTTTCCTCCCCACCTTCGGTCGGTCCTGCCCCCACCTCTTCCCTACTCTTTTATAAAAAATTCATTTCTTGATGAGAGAGATCTATTTGTTGTTCCACTTATCATGCATTCATTGGTTGCCTCTAGTATGTACCCCGACTGGGAATCAAGCCCACAACCTTGGCCTCTGGGGACAACGCTCTTACCAACTGAGCTCCCTGGACCTGGCCAGGGCCCTGCTCCCTCCCTTCACAGCACAAACCTGCCCCTGCCTCCCCCTTGCTCACAACCAAGGGTTCCCCAGGGCCCTCAGAATAGGGCCCAGGCCCCTCTCCACAATCTTCAAGGCCCTGTCAACATCTCCAGCCTCCTCTCACCCTGAATCATAGGCCATTTGCTGAGGAACCTGAACTCCCTTGCTTCCCAGCCAATCAATCATACAGGCTGTCCCTCTACCGAGAACTCCCGCACCATGCACCTCACCGCCCCACCTAG